GGGAATTTGTTGGGTGCCTTCCCTGCCTATATGTGCTGTGGGTATGTACACTGGTCATGGTGGCCTCAAATCAGACAAACCACTCATCACAGTACTGAGCACTACCCTTCACAGGCCTGCAGAAGTTATATAAAATGAAATGGTAAGGCTATGCCCATATTAATTCAGTGCTTTATAAGGAGCATTTGTTCTGGTAAAACAGGGACAGGCTAGGGACAGAAATTCAAAACGCCTGAGCCTGAATTGATTCAATCTTTGCAGTGCAGTTAGTCTAACCTGGCTATGCTAAACTGGTTTGTAACCGCATAGACATCCCAGAAATGCAGGCACATGCCTGCAGTGGCTCAGGCTAGAACCGGGAAGTGGTGGGGGATGTTAGAGCAGCCCTTCCTTCCCTTCCACAGCGCTGAGCTGAGGGGGCATGGCCAGGCCCAGCAAAAGGCTCTGATTAGGTAGTGGTCCCCCTGCTCCCCTTGAGCAGCTCAGCTGGCAGTTGATAACACAGTGTTTATCACCCCTAACTCAGTGTTTATCAGCTGATTAAGAAAACAAAAAGCTTCTCTCCATTAGTTCAAACTCTTCCTAAACACCTTTTTTCATTGAAGGAACAAAGGGACATTACCAGCTACCTGTTGATTAGATCCAAAAAGCCCTAAGTGGACACAGTCCTGTCTCCTTTGTCTGGTCTCCCACAGCACAGACTGTAGCCAGCATGTGGTCTGCGAGCTAATGCTGAGGTGTCTGTGTAAGGCAGAGGGGAGGGGGGATCCCTACTTAGCAGGAAATGGTGAGGGGAGTGGGAGCAGGGGGAAGCCAGGCAGATGCCTGCAGTCTCTGCCAGAGCTGCAGCCAGGGAGAAGAGGGGCAGGGCCAGCTCTGCTGTGGAGTAGAGAGCCCCACCCAGCCCAGAGAGAATGCTGGGATGCTGGGGGAGTCTGGTTTAACTTAAACCAGGAAGGGGTCTGGGACAGACATCGCATAAACTGGTTTGACCCAAATCAGTTAAGTCTGATACTGCATTCAACCAAATTTATCTCAAACCAGTTTCAGCCATTTTGAAACTGGTTTATGTGAACTGAACATCTGTTCTGTTACAGGTTTAAACCAGTTTCTAATCACTTAAACCGATTTATGTGTAATGTCTGTCCCTAGCCATGAAGTAAAAGACTAGAGAATAATGACAGTTGCAGCCATATATTGAAAACTACTAAGGTAAAAATGTGCCACCTGTGCTTGTGCCAAGTGGTACCTTGCTCCTAAAATACACCCAATTATGGAAATACTTGAAAAAAAGGTGTTGCTCAATATAGTATGTCTTCAAAAAGATGGAAGGGGAATTTTATACTTGGGTTCAGCCAAGAATAAACAATTGTCTACTGGAAGTGGTAGGTCACACACATTAAAATGTCAGTAGTCTCACTCAATTTAAAACTGTGATTTTTTTAAGTTAAAAGCAGAACATTTGAGTTAGCAGCAGAGTCTCCTTGTTCATAAAAACATCCAGTTCCATTAATGCAGAACTAATTTAGGGCACTGATACATACTTTAACTTTACATAGAAAAGATCAACCTTCAGTCCCTGATGAAATAGTTGATTTGTTTTCACTTGGAAAAGTCAACTCTGATGCTTTGTAATATTTGTGGCAAATTTATTCCTGTAACAAATTAGATGCACGATGGAAATTGTAATGTGTCATATAGAGCTTACTGTGCAATACTGAGTCGCTACACTGTACACATTTGGTTGAGAGATTAATATTAATGTTTAGATGGTATTTATTGTTAGAATATTTGATTTTGGACATATTACATTGTGTTAATACTTATGAATGGCCTAACTATAATAAATTGTATTTTACATATTGAGAACACTTGTTTTTAGTTATTTTTCTGCCAGCTGGATACTTTTGTGTAAGCTATTGTTTCCATTTCTTGGCATGTACTTGTAGCACAAAGGGCTCCTTGCCATTTCTTCTGAAACCAAATACTCATTGTCCTACAAATAGCCTGCTATACTCAAAAGCTGAACCAATTCTGTGTAATCCCTTGTGGAAACATCCACAGTGAGCAAAGGTGACACTGCCACTTGTAGCCCTCAGCATACCTATTTAGGCCTCCCTCTTACCTGCAGGGAAGGAGGGGGAGAAGCAGGCAGCTGTAAGACTGACATTCTACACAGTGTTCCCCCTTCTTTGTGGGTTAACATCTGTATCAAGTGGAAGTATTTATAAGCATGAAAAGAAACACATCTCATAATAAAATAGGATAGTTCTTCTCCATAATACTATTGCCTTCCTCAAGAACCTACTGAAAATGAGATGTCTGGATACCTGTATAACATACAGCATAAAATCGAGATGCAAGTACAAGGTTCACCTTATGCTTTGCTGTGACTCCAGTGGAACTTAGACACCAAATTACCCTGGACATCTTGGCCAGGTCTTTACTCCAGTAATATCATTACTGTATCACCATATCTGTGGTCTGATGTAAGTTACATACAGTAATTGCCAGCTCATAAAAACGTAAATATAGAATTCATTAGCTGACAATTGAAAGTTTTTTTACTTTAACTAAAACTTGCATCACAAATATTTCCTTAGCTCCCCATCATACCTGGGGGTTAACAACAGTGGGTTGTGGGTAAATTGGAACTCAAAATCAGATTAAGGAAGGTACTAATCTTTTGATATAACTTCTTGCTATCTCCGGCAAAATAATAGCATCAAAACAAGACAGTCTACTATATCTAACTTTCCACATTCAGGAAGACCACAAAGGCCACATCCAGATGTGTGTGGACATTTGGTTCCCCAAATGTGTGCCGCTGCCAGTTGTCCACGGGGAAAGCCTATGCCATGCACCCTCTGGCACGTGACAAGTTACTCTGGGTGGGGTAGGGGAGGCCAGGGCCAGCACTGCACTGGCCCTAGCAGCCTTACCTGGAGTCCTGAGGGCTTCCTGAATCTGCAGCAGTGCAGCAATCCTGCCACACGGAGCCTGGCCAGCAGCAGAGTGCAGCTCCAGCAGGCCATGCTCCAGCTTTGGGTGGCACACGGTGTCGCTGCATGCACCACTGTTTTTTTTTCCATGGGTTTTTTTGACCCCTGAATAACCAGGGGTTAAAAAAAAAACCCTCCACACTGCTCCCTTGTAGTGTGGAGAACAACCGAATGTGCAGTATGTGGTGCCATGGACACGTTTGTAGCAGCACAAACCGCATAGCCGTGCTTGTCTGGACGCGGCCAAAATGTATAAGAGGATTTTTTTTTTAACCAACCAACCAAGCAAAGTCCAAGTTTTAATTCCAGGGGTAAAGTTTTATGAAAAGCATTTTGAGGTGTAAACAGATAGGTTCAATTTATATTTTCTTCAAGTTCTGCCTTAATTCAGATAAATAATTTTGGGGGGTTTTTTGAAGTGGGGGAAATGGCTAAGGACACTGTCTGCCTAGAGTTGGACTCATTTCAGTAAGAACAAGATTGAGCTGTTTGTATCATTGAACTAATTGAACCTTTGCTTCCTTTAAAATCTTTCTAAGAAACCCCCTCCCTTTCCACCACAATATCAGGCCTCATTCCTGCATCTTTTCAGGGTGGAATCCTGTGATTCTTATGCTCTTTAGATCAGTCCCAGGTACCCTGTGTGGTACCATCTGTGGTTTCTTCTCTCACTGGGTTTGGCACCTGCAAAACTCACTACTTTGGGAATCTGACCATTGACACATGGTAGGATTTATGAAATGTCCTGCAGTTATGCAATATGTGATGGGATGTTTTGATTGCATAGGACATAAATACAACAATCTTCCAGGAATCCGTGATTTGAAAGATGTGCACACACAGAGTCAGGAAGCTAATTTGGGAGTGTGGTGAGCAGGGATATACTAATGCAGGAGAGTGGTGAGTGAACAATAGCAAGGAGACTGGTATGCCGAACATGGCCTCTGGCAAGTCGAAGAGGAAACTCAGCAGGGATAATCAAAGAAAGTAGGAAGTGGTTTTGTGTACTTATAACAAGATGGGTATGTGTGGAGTTTCTGGCTAGATCTTGTCAGTTTCTGGAACTGAAAAGACGATGTAATGAAAGATCTAGCAGGATAAAATGGAGCAAAAGAAGAGTACTTTGGAAACAGCCAATATGGGACAGCTGGAAGAACAGAGGTTCTCAACCTCATTAGATTCAAGGCACCCCTTCAGTCTGGGTGGGGTATGTGTGTGTGGTGCTAATATTGAGCAGCATCCTGGTTGAGAATCACTGATCTAGAACCTCCCCCACTAACCCAGTTGTGAAAATTCTGATAAAACTTTTGTAACTACTGTGTGGGTGTGTAACATCTTTATCTAATATTGAGTTGGCATGTTTTATAGCATTTTATAATGTTCGTTTAAAGAACAATAACTGCTATTGGCCTTTGAATTTAATAAAGGAATTTTTAGTTGAATTACTGATGTGGTCAATTGAATTCCAGCACATGTTCAGTGACCCAAAGTAGCCTTCTTGAAACAGAACATGTTTCATTTTGCCCAGCATAAAAGGAGCTAGAGAGAAACAGGATTTTATAATAATGAAATGTGTGTGTATCTCTGACCCAAGGCTTACTATCTATGTGGAGGCTTAGGCAGGCTAACAGTGCTGGCTACCTCTACTGTAACATTTAGGAAGGCCCAGGGGCATCAGACCCTTCTGCAGGACCAAACTCCAGCTGTTCCTCACAAAAACCTCCTGGGCAATTGTCCTTTACTTTGCTCAAGAACAACAGCCCTGTAACTCTTCCTTTTGCTCATTCCTAACACTGACAAAACAGTTGTGTAACTTGCTTGGAAGTAGGTTGAAACTCTTCACAGCTAAGAGCTCAGATAATTCTCTCATCTCCCTTACCTGTTTCCTGGGAGCTGTTTATCTGGACCCAGTGGTTTTGACTTGCCAACAGCCCTGTAGCCAAGCTCTCAACTCATGTAATAAGCATTCTAATGACC